GGTTCATTTTTTTTAAATCCATTCAGAATCTGACATCTCCTTTCCTGCTGTTCCCTTTTGTGTACTTTGTTACCGGTTGTATGTCTAAACTTGAATAGACCTTGTTTTTTGTGTCTCCTTGCTTCCATGCATGTTCCCTTCTAAATACTGCTGTCATGCTTTTCCAACAAGCAAATTGTAACCCTCTCAACACAATTCAGGTATTGGCCTATTTGTGGCTTCCTAACTGCTTCCCTGCTTCATGGACTCCTTCCTTTATCACCATTCTCTCCTCTGTGTCCCTGTGCTATTTTACACTCTCCTCTAGTGTAAGGTATGTAGATGTTAGACTTTGTGTGCAGGAAGTAAAGACATGAAGCATTAATTGTTGAAATTCAAAGGGTGTAGTCTTCGATATGGTTACATCTCAACCTAAAACAAATATCCTTACATTCTAGTGGCACAGTCCGTAGAGAGTTGTGCTGCAACACAAAGGCGAACTCTGATGGTTTGAAGTCATCAGCTCCTCTTTGGGAGAAAGCCAAGCATTTACCTCCTGTGTGATTTCTTTTTGCTGTTCATTGACATTGAGTTAGAACCAACTCATAGCTGACCCTCGAGTGGGTTTTAGAAGCAGTAAATTGCATGATAGGAGATTGCTGTTGGTCAGCCGGTAGATTCCAGCTATATCCCTTTGGATTGGCAGCACAGCTCCTTACCACTCGACCATCAGAGCTCCTTCCTGTGCAATTTACAGCCTCCAGAAACTTGGTGGAGAGTCGGCTTTGAATCAGTTATGACTCAGTAAGTCATAGTGAGACCCATAATCAGTATCATAGAGAAAAGATCAGTGTCAAGAATTTCATTTTACTTGGGTTCATAATTCAGTGTCCATTCAAACAAAAGTCAGGAAATCAAGCAGTGTACTGCATTTAGCAGACCTATTGCCAAGGACCTCTTTGAAGTACAGAAAAGCAAGAATGCCACTTGAAGACTAAGGTGCATCTGATCAAGCTAGTGATATTTTCATTTGCTTCATATTATGTCAGAGTTGGACAGTGATTAAAGACGACTGAAGAATTGATGCCTTTGAATTAAGATATTTGTAAAGAATATTAACTCCATCATGGTCTACCAGTCAAACAAGTCTTTCTTGGAAGAAGTATAACCTCCCTAGAAGTAAGGACGGTGAGACTTCATCTCACATACTTTGAGCACATTATTTAGGAGGGCCCAGTCTCTGGCAATCTCCTCCTGTGCATATAACTTCCTCTCAAAACCCACCGGAGGGTCAGCTGTGGGTTGGTTCCTACTTGATAACACAACAACAACAAACAACAGTCTCTGGAGAAGGACACCATGCTTGGGAAAGTGGAGGATCAGTGAAAGAAAGGAGGACCCTCAATGAGATGGATTAACACAGTGGTTGCAACAGTGAGTGGGCTTAAGCATAGTAGGAATTTGAGGATGGTATGGAATTGGGAAGGTTGCCTTTTGTTGTATATGGGGTCACTATAATTCAGAGCTGATCATAGTGCCTACTAACTGTAAAAGAAATGTAGGTGATGTGAGGTGGGGAGTCTGACCTTTTCTTACTTCTCCAGGAGGAACTGCCACCTTGTACAACAGCAATAGAGGCCAAACATGCTCCACCCATACCGAAGTCCTGCTGCTACCAATTTTAACACCAGCTGTCTCTCTCTCCTTGCCTTGCTACTCTACTACTGAGTCTGATAATTTGTTGCAGTGGCCACACAGAATTCGCATAACCTAACCATTATGAGGTATACTAAAGAAAATAATAAAGTTACAATTCCGTTTGGAAACAGGACACATTTCTTCAGTCAGGACAGTTTGTTTCTCTGACAACTCACCTGAAAGCTTTAAGTCACTGTTGAACTTTCTTAGTCCTGCCAGTTGTGACATCTCCCCGCCATCCCCCAACAAGCGTGGGTGCAGGCCACTGGCTCTAGCTTGTGGGGGTAGCAGTCCCAGGTCAGCTCTGCCACACATTGGTCTTTGATTCTTCACTAGTGCTGTTCTAGTCCGACTGGCACAGGAACTTCTGTGGCCCCAGAGGATAAGCACTGCCTTCACTTTCTTTTTTTCTTTTTTTTCATTAGTGAGGTTTTCCCTTTCTCTTGCTAAACGTGCTTAATTTAAACCTGGCAGGATGACATGACTGAGCAATCCCATCATGAGTAATTTGCATGCTTCATTTGCATGCTTCCACCCCAACCGTGTTACAAAGTGAAAGCAATGGCCATTTTGAACAGTAAACCTTAACTGCTAGCAACCTAGTGAGAGATAGAAGATGGTAATATTTTCATGTGTCTTTCATAATTAAACTGTAGATGTTTAGAGGTAAGCATTTATTTTTATTGGGGTTTTTTTTATGCTGCTGTTTTGTACCATTGAGTCGAAAACCCTTAGCTGACCTTCCAGTAGGTTTTCAGAGGTGGTAAATCACACAAAAGATTGCTTAAGTGTCCTTCTCCCATGGAGCAGCTGTTGTTGTTATGTGCCGTCGAGTCGCCTGCGACTCATAGCGACCTAATGGATAAACAAAACAGGAAGAGGGAAGATTGAAAGTTGAATGTGCCCTGCTGGAATTTACAAAAAAAAACCAAAAACAAACAACAAAAATGAAACCACAGAGGTGTTTTACTTCTTTTCTTAACATACTACAACTTTGTGAATTTTCTGTTTGACAGAAGGGCAGTCAAGTGCTTGTATAGAACAAAGCTGAAAGAAAAAATCTTTGGAAATGTTAACGGAATAAATTGACTAAGCTTTTATTTTTTAACTTCTTTTTGTGATGTAAGTAGTTTACAGAACAAATTTTTCATTCAGCAGTTCCCACACATGCTCTGTTTTGTGACATTGATTACAATCCCTGCATTATAATTGCATTCTTAGCACTCCTTCCCTGCCTTTCCATTTTCTTATCCCTTCCTGCCTTCTGAGCTTTATCTCTATGCAGTTGTTGACCTTTTGATCTTGTCTGTTTGTTCTAAGGAGCCTCTTCCTCCCTGCTATTATTGATCACTTTATAATCTAATTGGTTAGAAGTTGAGTCACAGGGGTGATATCAGGTCCAAGCATGAAAGATGACTAAGGGCTGTAGGCTCAAGACTACATTCATGCTCAGTAAGCCTTGGGGTTTTGTGTTTTGAGGACTTGAAGTTTGTTGTTTATTTTTTGATGACTGAGTTCTACTCCATTTTTCTTCCATCCTACCAGGGTTCAGAGCAGTCAGTATTGGAAGCCAGGCAACGTCTAGCTAGTTTTAGGAGTGTGGAGACTGAAGTTCATGTTGTCTATTAGCCCTTTGGAGTAATAGTCTGCTTTTCTTCCCTCTGAACATGGAGAGTTGAATAATTGTACCTTAAATGGCCACGCACATGGTTTTAAGACCTCAGTCACAATGTATATTGGTTAATTTTTTTATAACTGGACTTTTAAACCTCTGTTAGTCCAGGGTTAGTTAGTGGTTTCATGGAAAATGTTGATACCTAATTTGGCAAATGGAAAAGATGAGAAATTGGTGTTTAAAGTTTGTAGAGCTGAATAGTAGCCAAGCATCTCTTTGAGTTTACATGGAAAAGACAGATTATCTTGGGTGTACATTTCATCAGCCTAAAGTTGCTCTTCTTTTGTAATTAACAAAAGAAACAAAAAAGAATTCTAGAAAGGCTGATGATGCTTTACAAAAATGCCTTTCTCTTCTTTGACATAGAGTTGTGTTTTTCTGTGGGTCTTGGAAAAGAAAATTCACTTACACATTCAAATTATGCCAACTCTCAAATAATAGCTCTTCCTCTCATAATGTGATGGTGCAAATTCCCAGGTGAGCATAATGAGTTTGGTGAGTCACCTTTCAGACCACTTATAGAATCAATCATTTGACACCTAGTCCCGGTAGAGAATTTGCTGATTTTAGCTATTCTCTGCTTTTGCACCTTTTTCTTTGCAGCTCTGAAACTCACAATTTTTTCTTATTTCTAGAATTACAACTATTATTAGGAAAGTATTTAAATACCAACTGCTTCAAAACAGAAAATAGAGGTGCTTAAATTGCAGATAATTGAGGTAGTGTTGGTAAATAAGTCTTTCTGTAAGTTCCATCCACCATAAAGTAACCTGATTCTCCCAATTCAGCCCTGTTTTCTAAGAATTAAAAAGGAAGGGAGAAAGCCTGTTCCTAAAAGGCACTTGGTAAATTTGCTGTAATTTTCCCCCCATAACACTTCTCCATAAAGCAAAATTTGAAGGAAAGGCCTCTGTTTCTGTAACAGGAAAGGAGCTGTTCCCAGTTTTATCAGGTTAGTGCAAAGGTCAGAAATTGGCAATACTATTGTACTAGCTGAAAAGAACTAGAGATCACCCTGGTAAGGTCCACACTGCCACTTTGCCTTGGGGCCTCTGCCTGATTAGAAGAAAAAACTGGCACTTTTAGAGGAGTACCCCTGATTTGCAGGCTCATATACTTCTTCAGGGAGTAGGGAGAGAGGAGGCATTTGTAATATATGGTAATGGGTGATATTGAGGCAAACCTAATTTGGGGGCTACCTGGGTACTTCTGATGGTTATGCGCTTCACTACTTGCTGAAAGGTTTAGGGATAAAAACTTCCGTAAAAGACTCCTCCTAAGATAAGCCTGGTTTAGGATCTGATTCTGAAAGCTCACAGTCTCCTATGGAGCAGTTTTACTATAAAAATAAGGTATCACCTGTGTCAGAATGAACTCAGTGACAACTAACGACTTTTCATGAAGATTCTATTGGAAAACATTATCAACTTAATCTTAAAACTTTATAATTGCTAATGCCCAGCATGGATTAAATAAAGAAGAATTTTACTGTGGATTTGTATTTTCTCCATTTCATTTGTGTCCCCTCTGTGGTTATATTTCCTGACAGAAGGAATGGAGCCAATCAGAATGTTTGCTCATGCCTTTCATGTCCTGCCTCCCTGCTGATTGTCCTTTCCATTTATACCTCTCTTGTTGCTCATTTCAGAAAGATTTCCGAGTACAAGAACTCCCACTGGCTCGCATTAAGAAGATTATGAAACTGGATGAAGATGTGAAGGTGAATTCACATTCATTTTTTATTACCCGTATTAGCGCTAACATGATGACTAGGTTGTTGTTTAGTTCCCTAGAGTGCAAGGTTTAATTTTTTTAAAATGAAAGTGATTTTTGTTGTCATTGCTCTTGTGTTTGGTTCCTATGTGAACATGTTAATTGGAGAGTTTTAATTATTATATGGTACTTATCTGATATTAAAGATATATTGGTTTGATGGAGGTTTCCCCCTACACATTGAAATAGGCTAACATGCTTCCTTTTAAACATAGATTGTCAAATCCAGCAGGCCACTGCTGTCATCTTTGTTTCATTTTGCAGTTCTTAGTTGTTGACTCGGACTCCAAGAAATCTTTAATAACACCTGTTCTAACCTCTGACCTACAAGTGTATTTTACATGAATTACACTTGTGAGAAGGTTATTTTCAGGTGACCCGTTTCTGTATTCCTAGGAGTACACTTCCCATTAGGACTCCCAATCTTGACCTCTCAAAATGATAATTTCTTGTATTTATACAGGAGGCGAATAGTACACAGTAATTTTCCTCTTATTAGTTCATTCCTGTTCACAGTAACTCTGAAATTTGATAGCTTAAGAATTATTAGTTCCAACTTTTTTGTAAACTTTCATTAAAATCACAATTAAATAATTACTAATTCCATATACAGATAAGAAAAAGGAAGTGGCTCTTCGAAAGTAGAGAATCAAGATCCTAATTCTCCTTATCCTTCACATCTTTTCATGCCTCTGCCTTGCACAGATCATCTTACCAAGTGTTTAGAACCTTGTTTGACCAAGAACAGGCCCTTTGCAGTCTGACACAAGACACCTTATCCTGCTTACAGTTACTACATGCCAGGCCTTCTGATGTATGCCTCCGTCCTTTCCTTCGTCAGCCCCCCAGTATGTGAACAGAAAGCTCAGAAAGGATGAGAAGCTTTGGATTTTACCTAAATTTGTTGTTTCCAGGTTTATATTTGTTTCCAGTTTTATATATTTTCCCACGTTGTCTAAATCTTGCCACTTGCTTGCTCAGTGGCCCATGCACATCACTTCCCCTCTCCTGAACCTTTGTTTGAAAGACTGTTTTGAGGGTAAGAAAGTATCCTATTTGAAGTCTTGGCACATAGTAGGTGGTTTTGAAGTAAGTATCTCCTTTCCCTCGTCTCTTCTCATGATCAGTTGATTAACCTTGGAATCTCTTGAGGTCACCACTTTCTCATTTTACAACCCATTATACTCCCATGGCATGGCATTAAGCAGGAGACTTACCTAACTGGCTTGAATAACTTGCTGGTGATTGACGCAGACAGTCTGTGTTTGTTGCAGATGATCAGTGCAGAAGCTCCTGTGCTCTTTGCCAAGGCTGCCCAGATTTTTATCACAGAGTTGACTCTTCGCGCCTGGATTCACACAGAGGATAACAAGCGGCGAACTCTCCAGGTAATTGTGCAGCCCTTACATGGAGGAACTGGGACAAGAACCTGCCTTTGCTTCGACTACATGGTTTTGACCAAGGGTTCATTTTCCCTAGGATCCTCTTCATCTCCTCTGTAATTGGCTTCTTCCCTTCCCCATTGGAAGGCAGACATTCCTTATAGTCATACTAATATAGTTCTCTTACAGTTTCCACAGTGACTAAACTCTGTACTTGATGGGCCTTCAGTACAAGCAAAGTTACAGAGTATTTATCTGTTACCAGATAAATAAACAGTATTTATACATTTCCAGATGTAAACAACTTCTGGTGGGAAATTCTAACCAGGAAAGAATGACCCTGGCAAAAGTCATCTGAAAATGCTACTTTCTCACTGACGTCATTAACTTTTTTGTTCCATGGGTCCTTTTCTTTTCTCTCTCTCTCTTTTTTTTTTTTAATTTATTTATCAAATTAGCACTCACAGGGTCTGAAGAACTCATGGTTTTTAGTTCTGGAAGCTCTGTCCTTAATAGTTTGCACTAACTTTTAGAGGAAATGTTTCCCAGACAGGAGAGTGATAGACAGTTCATAGTCTTTTTACAGCAAAGCCAGGAAAGTGAATTAAGGTTTTTCTTCTTGTTTTTATTTATCTCCAAAATGGAAAATGCTTATTAATTTATTTTGTAAATATTTCTTGACTACTTATGATGTTCCAGACATTGTTCTAGGTTCTAGAGGTTTTAAATGTGCAAAACGGACAGAAATCCCTGCTTTCAGAGAGTTTGGATTTAGTTGCACTTTATGCAGAAATCCTGCTTTAATGCCACTTGCATTTAAGTAAAGTTTATGCTTCTTTGAAGTAAAGGGATTCTGTGAATCTGGAAAGATCCAATTAAAGCACCTTTAAGATCAAGTCATATTAAAAAAATAAACTGAGGACATAGCAAGCCTTTTGAGAACATATCCAAATGACCAGTGGTGGTGTTGTGATTCAGAACCAACTCAGAGCTGACCCTCTGGTGGGTTTTCAGAGTCAATTAATCACATGGGAGGAAGAGTGCCCATAGTAGGGCAGATAGTGGCCTCAACCACATGCAGAGCTTCTTGCCACTAGATGACCAGAGCTCCCTAAATGACCGATAAACATATTAAAAGATTTTCACTATCGTTAGACATCTTAGAAATATAAATTAAAACCACTATGAGATATACCATTAGGGAGCTCTGGAAGCCTAGTGGTAAGGAGTTTCACTGCCAATCCAAAGGCATGCAGTTTGAATCCCCCAGTTACTCCTTGGAAGAAGGAAGGGCATTCTTCCGTGCAATTTAATCAACCAAAACTGAAACCCAGTGTTGATTGCATTTCATAGGATCCTATAGAATAGGGTAGAACTTACCCACAGGATGTCAAGATTGTAGCCTTCAGATATAAATGGCTGTATCTTTCTCACCCTTCCAAGTGCTTTAGCCTCTGTGTCACCAGGGCCCCTCACTTAATACCAAATCTACTGCCGTGGAGGCCAGTCTGAGTTATGGTGATCCTCCATTACATTTCTAGGCTGTAAATCTTTATGGGAGGAGATTGCCTGTCTATCCCACAGAGCCTCAGGGTAAATTCAAACATTCAACCTTTTGGTGTTGGCAGCCTACTCTGTTAAACACTACACCATGGCTTGTTCCCTTATACCAAAACAAGACTAAATAAGAACCCTGAGGAGGACCTCAGGCGCTTGCTGCAGAAGGTCAAGATCTGTGGTCTTCAATATGATTGAACCTCAACATCAAAAAGACAAGTTGGCAGCACCATGATAGACGGAGAAGAAATTGAGGTTGTTAACAATTACAGCTTGCTCGGCTTCACAGTCGGCACTTGGCACGAGCAGTCAGGAAATCAAAAGATGAATTGCACTGGAAAAGTGTGCTTTCAGGGTCCTCTCCAGAGTACTGAGAAGCAACAATATCAGTCTAGAGAGTAAGGTGAGCCCAATCCAGCTCATGGTCTTAGCAGTTACTTGCTTTGCATCAGAGAGCTGGACAGAGACTAAGGATGACAGAAGAAGAATCAATGCCTTTGAGTTGTGGTGCTGGAGAAGAGTCTTGCACATATCAGACCATCAAGAAAATAAATAGGGTCTGTCTTGGAGAGGGTAATACCAAGTTTCTCTTTGGAGGCTAGGATTTTGAAGCTCCCTCTTGCATACTGGTCTCGTAGCCAGGAGGGACTAGTCCTTGGAGAAGGACATGCTCAGAAGGGTGGAAAGAGCGCAGGAGAGGAACACCCCAGGTGAGATGGTTTGATACCATACCTGGGGCAATGGGGATAGGTGTATCAGAGTCAGACTGGCTCAGGTTAGGACAGGCTTCACAGGTGCATAGGATTGCTATGGGTCGAAGTCTACTTGAGAGCACATAACAACAACAACATGTACTTTTAGCTACAAAAGAAGACGTACTGAAGAACAAATCTAGTTCATAACTTGGGAACTGCCTATGCCTAAAGAAATGTGGACATTTCATAAGAATCTTCATAACACCCTTATTTATAATAGCTAAAGAGAAATAATGCAAATCTTCATCATTAGAAAAATATATAAACAGTATCTGGTATACTCACGAAATGCATTGCTACTTAGAAATAATGAGGATGAGTAAAAAATATTAAGCAAAATAAACCAGAGAATTAACACTACATTGTGTATGATTGCATGTACAGTCACTGTTTATGGCAGTAAAAATCAGAGTCCTAGCTGCCTCAGGTTTGAATAGAGTTGACTGGGAAGTATTAGGAAGAAGCTGGGTACTCTTAACCTGGGTAATAGCTGCACAGTGTGCACATTTATTGGTAATCAAGCTACTTACCTAAGATTTCATTTCACTATGCATAAGGACTAATTCAAAGTGTTAGAAATCAGATGTAAGAAATTAAGAAACGAACCTGGTGGAGTGGGAGGTTCCAAGAAGTAAATGATCTATGTTTTTAAAGGCAAAATAAAAAAAAAAATTTAAGACCTGATTCAATCATATTTTTTCCAAATATTATAGAACATTTTAGCATATGTTTAGATGTTTATTACCTTTCTCCCTTCCATCCATTAGATAAGCCATTCAGATAGCTTATATTTAAGAAGATGACATCATCAAGAATGTGACACTATATCGTAGTCAGTACTTATCATCCTGGCAGTCTTAAGATGTGCTCTGCTTCAGTGAGGAGGTTTTATTAACAAGCTGGTGGCTGGCAAGAAGGGTGGACTGCAGTTTTGCATTTCAGTGGCTTGGGGCCATCACAGAGTCAGGGGAAGGAAAAAACAGAAAATTTCCATCCCCTCCTACTTTGTCTCAAGAGTCACCTTAAGGTGTGGTACATAGAAGTTGCTAAGGATCTATGCTAATATCTTGTTTTCCTAACATTTTAAAAATTTCAAACATGTATACAAAGTTGACTTGGATAGTAAGCACCCTTATATCACTATCTAGGTTCATACATAAACATTTTATTATTATATTTGTTTTATCCCTCTATCAATCATCTATTCATCTTGTTAATTCATGTTTTTATGCCTTTTAGAGTTAAATTATACACTCTTAATACTTAAATGTCCACTACATGTCAGTGTTTTCTTTCCTCTTGATAATTTTGATAAAATGAATTACACAAATCTGACATATACATAAAATAACTATCTTTTAATTTTATTGTTCCATCAGTGAGTGTTGCACTCTTTTGTTGTCGTTGTTGTTGTTTACAACAGCAAAGAGATTATAAGGTCAAATGATAGACTGACTATGCCCAGCCAGAGAGGGTGAGAAATCTGTTGGTTGAGATTGCTAGATTTGTACTAATTTATCTGGAGGATAATAAGTTAGTAACTAGGAGGAGGCCCTTAGGGCAGAATCAGGTGAGCAGCGGTGGCTAGACAAGCATGAGCTATAGGCATCTCTTCTTGTCAGTACCTGTGTTGTAGTTCTCATTGTTCTCCCCCAACCTACCCCCTATCATTTGAACTCTTTTTAAGAGTTTGGCTGATTGTTTAAGCTGTAGATTCAACCATGGGCATTGAGTTTGGCTTAGAAGTCTTCCTATTATCTTTAACTTGGAGGGAGCCAGGTGAACTAGTTTCCCCAAGGCTAATTTTTCGCTCTTCTTGTCTTTGTTACAGAGAAATGATATCGCCATGGCAATTACCAAATTTGATCAGTTTGACTTTCTCATCGATATTGTTCCAAGAGATGAACTGAAACCTCCCAAGCGTCAGGTGAGCTAGGACGGCGGCTGCTGCCCGGCTGCCTGGAGAGCACGTGTGTACGGTGTCGGATGGACTGCTTCTCTTCTCTTCTCTCTGCACCAGCCATTTGCTATTCCGTTTGCTCTTCCTACCCTAGATCAGATTCATCCTTAACATCTCCTTCTACAACCCATTTATGGATACTTTTAACTCACTGCCTCTGAGGTGATATTCAGGGGAAGTAAGAAAAAGGGGGAAAAAATTAAGGACTTTATGTCCAATAATAATGAAACTCACATCAAGGTATCCTAGAAAATTGATCAGAAACATTAATCGGGAAGGGAAGACTATTCCTAATAAGTTATACATTTTATAGCATTTTGAGTGACAGCTCTCTGTGTGTGCAGGGTTGTTTGGAGTAAATGGGCTTGGGCTTTCTCTTTCTAGTGCCTTGAGTACACATTACGATCACCTGTTGGGATTAAAGGAAACAGATGCCCATCAGCTGCATCTGAGTCTTAGGAGGATGGAACCCAGGCATTAGTAATTCTTTATATTCTCCCCAGATGGATTTATAATGCGCAGCAAAATTTGACAACTACCATTTAAACTGCTTTCTAAGCAGCAAGAAAGAATGGCATCTGTTTTCCCCTCTCGTGTCTGCCTCTCTCCACTGGTCACACAGATTTGGTGTTTTGGGCACTTTGAGTGCACGTAGCTCTTAATTCCAGTTGTAGTTCTGATAGTTTTCTGTCCTCTTTAGGTTATTTTTTTAGGCAGTCAGATTACGTGTCCAAGTATGGTAGACACACATGGGGAATAGTGACATTATCTGGCAAAAGCAAAGCTGAGCTTTGAATTGCTTATTAATTTTCAAATGTTTTTTAATGGATTATTTCATATTACATTATCCTTAGAAACACTCTTTGAGTGAAGCTTTCTGTCCTGTATTAGTAATGTCTTACCAAAGAAAGTGGGCATCCTAAAGGATATTTGTAATCCTACACCTGTGTGGGGGCCCTTGGATTAGCACGCCCCCTATTACCTCATGAGAGCAGAGTGTGCTTCACTGCATCTCCGTTCTTTTATGGGCAGTCTTTGCTACTGTAAACATCCTTGACTGGAAGCTGTAAGGTGTTCAGAGGAGCTTTCAGTCGGATGTTTACAGCGGCAGGCTGCCACGGTCGTCCCTGGCTATGCTTCAGCTTTGAGATGTTTCACGTTTGTGTCCATGGGCTTGATTCCTCCTCTTAGGGGCTTCCCTCCCTGAGAAGTTACTATAAGAACTCAAACCATGTCTCTTCCTTTAGCCCAAGTGATACCACGTAACTCCTCTATTTGTTTCCTCCCTGTATCTTTCCAAAACCCACTTGAACCAAGATGGTGAGCTCTGTAACAATTCCGTCTTGCTCACTCTAAATGTGCAAACTCCTGCTTGTTCTCTGTAGGATGCTTGCTGAATAAATAAATGGCCTGGCGAGAAGGGTCCTGACTTATCCCTCCAAAGTCCTCAGTGCTTGTGGTTCTCTTGGGTTGGACAGTCCCTTGTCCCATCCTAGCAGGATATGAAATACTGTGATCCATCTACTTTTAGAGTATGTCTAGCTGAAACAGCGCCTTGCTGCCTGAGTTCAGTTCTTTGTAGGTGTTCAAGCCATTGATTGGCCTCCTATTTGGGACAGCTGCTGCCTGGCCTTTGAAAGGTTGAGATTGCTGAAAGCTGGCCTGAAATTCAAAGATAGCACTTTTAATCCTCTATAGACATGAAGTTTTCCCCTGTTCCAAATTGGCTGGCATCTCCAAAAGTCCTTTAAAAGCGCCTACTCTCCAAAATGCACCCTTTCTGGAGGAGGCAGCAGTTCACTCTTGCTATCACAGCGAATGCGCTCCCCCCACCCAGGCTGAGGTTGGCTTCACAGCTCTATAGTGATGGCCCTCGAGTGTGTTGCTACTCATTCTCTGGTATTGTTTGTCAGCCTCAGCTTCTGAAAAGATAAGTAAACTCTAGCGGAGAAACTACTGTTAAAGCTGGGCATGTGCCCCATTTTCGTTGATCAGCTTTTCTGGGATTGTCCTAGCACTTGGAGTGATGCCCCATGGGAAATTCTGGGGAAAGGAACTAGTCAGGTATGTTGAGATGTGGGTCTAAGGCCTCTGCTATCTTTCAGTTGCTTGAGAATTTCACTTACTTTTCAGAGAAGCAAATACAGACTGTTTGAAAGCAATAGGTAACTGAGGCTTAACCAAAGCTATGAGTTGAAAGTTCCTGACCATTGAAATGCCATTATCTCTTCACCCATTTCTTTAAACCAAGCATAATCATTCCCTTGTCAGCTTGATCTCCATTGGCAGAATGAGTTTTCATAATACAGAAGAACCTCGGACTCTTATTCCATTCCAGTGATTGAGAACACTTGTACATTGTCTTACAGATCTCTGCTTGATAACTCGTACAGAGTCCTGTAAGTTAGCCCAAAGACACTGTGTAGTTCATAAAACAGTCTAAGTGTAGTGGGACATTTAGGAAAACTCTGTAATGGCTCTCACAATTTTTTGGCAGTAGCTTCTGGAAGGGGTATTTAAAGGTCTTGGGTTTTGTCCAACAAATTGACTATATTCATTTCCAGACCAAGTAGGGATAAGGTGGGAACAGACAGAGGAGGAAACCTCAGTGTCCTCCTGCTCCTTGACTTCTTGCTATTTGACGGTGGGGCTTTCCATCCTCTTGACCTGCTCACCCATGAGCTTTTCTGAGTTAGGTCTTAGCCTTAGTGATTGTTTTTGTGTGGCTGGGATTTTTGGTGTGTTGCTTTTTATTTTCATTCTTTCTCATTTATTTTTTTATAATACAATACAAGAGGAAATGTCACTAGGGGAAAAATGCATTGAACTTACTTCAGTGGCCTTGATAAGATTGATTGTCCCGTGTGTCTTGGCTAAGAAAGATATCAGTATTTTACCTTTGCCTCATCAGAGACATTGTTTATAAACTGAGAAGGAATTGACATTATCCTGTCCACATTCCTCTGGAGACCAAAACCTGGTTGGAAATCATGATGACGCCCTTTTCCCTCTGCCTCAGCATAAGCACATTCAGGCTGTTTGGGTCTGAAGCACCACAGTATATTATTCTAAAAAAAAAAACATTGGCTCGTGTTGGTGGTCCCTTTAGAAACCTGGAATGTTACAAGTGTTTACCAAGGTAGAGTGGTCTAACAGGGAACCTATCATGCAGGAACCCTCTCAGAGGCTAACAGTTGGCACTCCTGAGCCCTCACTCACTGGGCAAGCAAAAGGATGCCCTGGCCTGCCCTATTGGTAACCTCAGCTTTACCCTATAGCTGCAAAATCCTAGAGCTAACAGATTCTATGCTATTGGTGACAGCTATTCAATTTAAGAGAATTTGTCATACTACTAACTTGTTAAGAATATAGTACCTACAGGAGAATGGTATCAACAGTAGAGGGAAAGAGAGAACTAGGCTTTGCCCCCTCAAGCTTCTGGTCTAGCAGCAAAGGCATTTTGTTTGACAGACAAGTACAGAAAGATGTATTGGAATATGTGCAAGTACCGTGCAAGGGGCAGATTGGGGCGTCTGACCCTGGAGAGGCTGGGCTCAGTACCAACTTTCTAGATCTCACTTTGGGGACCTCTAAGACAGCTCACAGGATCTATTTCCCTTGAACAAGAGTCTTCCTTTCTGGAAGTATTGGTCTCCCCGGCATACTTAGCCCAAAACAAGAAGTGAATAAATTTGCTGATGTTTTTACTCAGCCAGCCCAAGTGGTTGTATGCTTGTATTTTTATTGCCCTGGACAGAGGTGCCATGTGTCACAGGTCACTCCGGAGCTGATGCTGATCTCTGTGTCACTGGACTGGGACCTGGGCAGCCCCCGACCTTCCAAGGTGTAACCATGCTGTAGTGTGTGTAAACATCCTACACTCTCAGCTGTGAGCTTAAGTTGGCTGGGAGAGGGTTGTTTACTCCTTCTGCCATGGAAAACGTCAGCTGAAGAAGGAACAGTCTCTTCACCCTGCACATTGGACAAATGTGGCCTCTGTAAACAACCAAGGCAGCACCTCTGTGGAGAGCTGGCTGACAGGACGCGAGGTTGCACTTCCGTAACTAAGTACAACCAGAACCATGTGTCACGTTGGATAAACATGGTCCTTAATGAACACAGACCTTCCGACATGTCTTGAAAAGCTGATCATTTGTCTGTTAGGGTTCTTGATTCTAACCTTGATTCTGAAATTCTAACCCAGGAAAATTTACTTCCATTTTCCCTACTCCACCCTTCCTGAGATGGAGGGAACAAAGGAAGGAGAGCACTACCTCCTTGGTAGCAGGCTTGAGTAGCATCTTTCCAGCACTTGCAGTTAGCACCCTTCTCAGATCACGGGCCTTGACAGAATTTACTGACAGGCACTGCTGGTGCGTGGTTTTTAGTTACGGTAATTGTTTGCCCGTTTGCAGCTCATCAGGCAATGGGTGATTACTCTGTACTTCAGAAAATTGGCTGTGTGTTTTGTGAAGCCTATGGAATCTGTTATTTTTAGTTTGATTTAGCACAACTGGTCTCTTCAAATTCCACTTTCTCTTGGCTTCAAATGTGGAGAGCTCAGCATTCAGCAGGCTACTGCACAAAGCCTTTCGGGGAGAAGAGTGGAAATTCACCACGGCGGCTGCTGAGTTGGTTCTTTTCCTCTTACCTGCCCCTGCTTCTACCCCACAGGAGGAGGTGCGCCAGTCTGTGACTCCTGCCGAGCCCGTCCAGTACTACTTCACGCTGGCTCAGCAGCCCACTGCCGTGCAAGTCCAGGGGCAGCAGCAAGGCCAGCAGACCACCAGCTCCACAACCACCATCCAACCTGGGCAGATCATCATTGCACAGCCTCAGCAGGGCCAGGTCTGTGAGGCACTGAGGATGCCTGCCCATCAGGACAGCACTTAAATTTGGGATGTGGTGAGCTGGACTGGAAGAGAGGCGGCCTGGTCATTACAGACCTCTGGATTTGCAGTCTGAGGACTTGGGCTTTTCCTTAGGTTCAGCCACTGAGATAAAGTGTCACCCTCATCTCTCTCAGCCTCAGTTTCCTTGTGAGTCACATGAGGGAAGGACTGTGGACAGCATGTTCATTAAAATCTCTAAGCTCAAATGAATATTGAGAGCCCTTTAAAAGGCATTTAATATGGGTTTTGTGCCTGCTCTCTGAGTCTATCCCAAATTGATACAAGTGCTCTTAAAAAGGAGAGTTGACGTCCTTGCAAACTTTACTTCCTTCTCCTCCTCTCTCCCTTCATTCTCTGACCCTCTTATGTCAGATGGCCTACCCTATTTACAGTAGTAATCAGAAGGATCTTTCTGTCGCCAGTGGTATGGTTCTAAGAGCAGAATATTCATGTTTGCTGGGGGTCATGAGAGACTTTATAGAGAACTCTGAGCTCTGAATCCAAACTTCCTGTCAGTAATTCCTTATTTATTCATCAAGCTGATATTGAACATCTCTGGGTAAAGTTTTAAGCATGAATAATACAATCCCAATGTTCAAGGAACTCACAAGTTACAAGAGGGAGGAGACATACTTAAAGGGGTACCTAACAAAGATGCAGTGGAGGTGATGGAAGAGGATGCTGGGGAAGATTCTTGAAGAGAGTAGGTCTTAAGAGAGAGCAGTGGAAGTTAATCACGTAATGAGAGGGAGGAAGGTACCGCTAATAGAAGACAGTGCACAGTTTAAAGCTTTGAGGTGAGAAACTGCACTGGACAGAAAATAGTCAACACCAGGGAATATCCAAGCAAGGCTGGTACCTTCCAAAGCAGTTGTATGTATGCTAGGAAGAAGCTGAATTTGCCCAGAAGGAGAAATGAAATGAGGGAATTGGACTTTAATCCTAATTATGATTTTAGGATTTATTTTCTTCTCATTAGTCCCTATAGCAAAGAAATTATTGGATGTTTGCTTTGTGCCAGATTCTGTGCTAGGCAGGAAAGACTCAGATAATCCCCACCCAATTCCTGCCTCAAGGCGTTGACTGCACAGTATGCTCTTTGGCTTGTGTATTGCCTCTGCAATGGTGGGAACTTTACCTGCCAAAGGCTTTATCCCTTTACAGAGTAAACTTCAAGGAAGCCTGCCAAGGGCTGGCTCTTGATTGGCTGATCATGGCCACTGTGCCCCAACAGCAGGGCACACCGTAACGTGATTTGACAGCTGCCATGCTTACACAGGCCCTCATTTTCCTGAAATGATTTAGAAATACCTTGGAAGTCCTCTTGGGAAAATTGGGGTTGATAAAAAACTGACATGTTGGCAGCGTGCAGTCTTTTTTTTTTTTTTAAGGCAGCAAGACTTCCATCTAATCCTATTCTTTGCCACCTAGACCTGCTCAGCTTAGAGTTGATAAGGTTTGTAAAGACAGTGAAGTTGGCCCTTTCAGCATCTCACAGCTGTTGTTTTGCTACCCTTCTGGTTCGTGGTGGCCCCATACCATGTCTATCCTCCCTGGAGATGCAGTTCAAATTAAGTGTACATATTATTTATAGAACAGAGTATATACTAAGGCAAAACTGGTAAGAAAGCATATTTTTTAAAGTGAATTCTGTGTTTTCTATCATAAAATTTGGAGACTTATCCTCAGGGATATAGGTGGTAATCTGAATTGAAAATCACGATAAGAGATTGAATAGGTATTTTTCATTGCCGTAGCCCACAGCAAGTAATTTTACTTATTTCTGGGTTTTTTCCTCTACCTTTCTCCAATTTGTAGCAAATTCTATTTACCTAGTAATATCCTGAATCCTTATCAGTAATTCCCAGAACATATTTCCATCTTTTGTAATTTTAGATGCTTAGTTTTAATGTCCGGTAGATCAGTGCAGCCAGAATATAAGAACATCAGAATAGCGACATCGATTGAAGACTGTCCATTGAAACTCCAGAGTCATCTTACAGAGGTGGTTCTGAAATGAGAGTTGGAAAAGTTTATGTCCATAAAAGAGTACAGGTATAGTTTAAAACAAGCCCTCTTCTGTAGTCATGCTAGGCCAGATAGACTGGTAGTCTGTGAAAGTCACATCCAGGGCTAAAGTTTTGAGGTTTGAAGGAATGATTGACCCTCTTGACAGTCCAAGTCTGACATCTCTTGAAAGAACAAGTTTCATAGGACTGCCTTAAAGCTGAGATTCCTGTTTCTAAAAACGTTTAAGGAGGCCTTACTTTTTTCCTCTCTATTAAATAACTTAAGAGTCTGTATTAGTTCAGTGTCCTAGTAGGGTAGGTTTGTCTATCCCCAGTTAAGCTCTGTGGCAAAGAGTAACCATCTGGTTGGTGTGGGCAGAAGTTACTCTGCTTCTTAAATTGGCATGAAAGCCAATATGGGGACATCAGGCCAGCCTCAGGAATGTATCACAGGGTTTATTTTTTTCTAGTCTCTTGCATACCAAAGAATGCTGCTCAGGACCCTCAGTTTAGTGTAGTAAATTCCTACTGGGCCCACATTCCATTTTGTTTTGTCTTCCAAACTCACCTGATTCATATATGATCATATTGGTTGTTTTGCATCATAGAAGCTGTACCATCATTGAAACAGCCAACCAAACCCCTGCTGTCAAGTTGATTCCAACTCAAAAACCCTGTAGGACAGAGTAGAACTGTCCCATCAGGTTTCAGAGACTATAAATCTTAGCAGAATCAGTGTGCCTTAATATTCCATAGAGCAGCTGATGGGGTTGAATTTCAGTTTCCAGCTCAACAGTTAGCCACTAAGTCTCCAGGGCTCACACCATCATTAAAGGGGTTGGAGAAGGTTGCAACATATAAGGATGAAGATTTAATGTTTGAGGCTTAGGCAAATAATTCTGAACTCTAAATCTGAAAATCAGTTTGGCTTTCTCATCTTTTATTTCGAAGAGTAGCTCTGGCAGTGTTCTAAGCCTTGAAGGACTGTGGCTTTTAAGTCTTGTTCTTATTGTTGAGATGAACTTGGGCATTAATGGAAGGGATTTTCTCCCAGTTAACTGCTTATTCTTGACCCTTTGGTAATCACACTGGCTCTGAGCTTAGTCGGCCTTTTTGTGATGCTCCCTTCCAGACCACTCCAGTGACGATGCAGGTTGGAGAAGGTCAGCAGGTGCAGATTGTGCAGGCGCAGCCACAAGGCCAAACCCAGCAGGCCCAGAGCGGCAGCGGCCAGACCATGCAGGTGATGCAGCAGATCATCACCAACACGGGAGAGATCCAGCAAATTCCGGTGAGCCCAGCCCAGACGGCTGCCCAGCACTGTTGTCTACTTTCTAATGGGAAATACTTGAAGATTATGTACCCATGAGGACTTTTCTTCCTCACTCCCTCCGTCCTTCCCTCTCCCCCTCCCTTTTCCCACTGCCTCTTACCCCCACAGTTACCCCCAGAGTGGATTGCTAAACTGTGTTTGCTCCCTGCTTTCCTCTCATCCAGATTCCTTACCATGTGGCAGCTTCTCTTGATTCCCCCTCATTCCACCTGCACCAGCAACCATTGTAACTACTATCTCATGCCAAGGCCCACAGGTCCTGTGAAGCAGTCCTGTCTTTTGATTAGAGAAGAGTAAGAGGGAGGTGTATAGCCATAAATACACTTGTTGCATATTCATGAGTCAGTTCCCAGTGGAGCCTGCAGTAAAGTGTATTTTTGGCTTTCATTTAACTTATCCATTCCTTCACTGTGGACTGCTGCATCCTGTGTGCCTGGAGGCATTTCATTTCTCAAATTTGTTGGTTTTTTTACTTATACTATTGTAAAAATGTCCTTGTCTTTAACACTTGGCAGGCTGTACACTGGTCACTTCAACAACATAAAAATAGAAAGTGAGTGACACGAGCTATTCTTTTGTTTCCTGCCCCCTGCGCCTCTTCCTGCTGTAAATGATAAACATCTGAGGATAGAAATTCATGGAGACTTTGTTACCATTTCTCGTTTGGAGAAAACTTGAAAAGCATCCTTGACCCTCCTTTAAGAACTGTTCCACTTATTATCATAACAGTCCAGGAGAAGGCATTTGGCTCACCCGTGTGCTCACTCTCGGTCTTGGATCTGTCTCACTTGCCATCATCAGTTTTTTTGTTTGGTTTTGGTTTTTTGCCACCATTAGTTTTAAGTGACTGAGTTCTGCCTTGCCTCAGTGCTTCAGCCACCAAACCCAAGATCTCGTGAATGGAACTTACTTTTGCATGTGAAGACACCAAGACAAATTCATTTGTGCCATGGAAAAATTCCCGCACTGTGGTTGGTGGCTTTAACTCAGGTGTCTTAAATCTCTGGTACATAGAGCATTGGCCCAGAAAATGTGTTGCCGGGTTCATGGCCTTGCCTTCACTGGTTTCAGGAATTTGCATTTCTGGGCTCTCCAGGCAGCTCAACTGAGTGCTCAGAAAGACAGTGACCTTCAGGATGGAAACTTAATTTCTTTTTTGAAAGTCCAAAGGAGGGTAGACTTATTTACTCGAATTACTGTAACAATGCTGTGAGGATCCCCAGACCTATCCTTACATGAGAGGACGGAGGGGCAGAGCCAAACCTAAAATAAGATTCTGGCTTCTAAGAACAACTTAGACAGTCACATACTGTGTTTTTACAAAGCATTCCTCTTCCCAGCTTGGAAACGTAAGGTCCCTGTGACTGTGAGTATGGTTGACTGCACCCCTGGGTGAACCTTCAGTCTGTTCTGTTCATCCTAGGGACAGCTACCACTGCTTTAGACAGATGAGATTTCCCAAACCTCCACCCACGCCTTCATACCCACAAGAGATTGACATTGTTGCCTGGAAGCTGAATTGGGGGATTTAGGTCGAGAATTTTAGACTTGACACCACACCATTTAGCAGTTCCTCATGGCATATTCATGGGGACAAAAATGACTACAGGTCATACTACTCTTGGCTCCTTTGAAACAGATGCTTAACAAATAAGCATAGATGATTTTTTCTTCCCCCTCCCCATTTTGCCTCATCCAGACAATTCTGGACTGATGTACCAAGAACTTCAGCTTTAGTCTTTCCTTGGTGGTTCAAATACTTTTTTGAGGCTGGGCATTCCAGAGAAGCCGTTTGCTTTAACTCAGGACTGCAACTTCAGCCTTTCAGCATTTTCTTCTTGAATTCACTGCAATAGAATTTGTTTTTCAAGAAAAACAGTTTGCTCAAAGGTAAAGAGGCAGGACCTTTGGTTGTCAGCCTCAGGGAAACTCCTACAACAGAGTCAGACTGGGAAGGCAGATAACCCAAATTTGTCTGTGCTCCCAGAGTTTCTCTCACACACACCCCCCCCACCCATCATGGTTGTGGGAGGTCTCCAACCTTCAGCTTCGTGCCATAGTTCCTCTCATATTGTATCAGCCTGGGCCTGTCTTCATCCGCAGACTGGAAGCAGTGCTGCTGAGAGCCCAAGTTAAGACTTTTAGCACACAATTAAATGCAGCATGTGGTATTATTGTATTATCTGAGATTTAATCGTAAGCTGAGGGACTCTAAGGGCATTTTTGTTGCTTTGGTTTCCCATGATGAGCTTTTCTGTGAAAGGCTTATTGATTCAGCTTCCCCTTGGGAAGTGTTTGGCCAGAAGCTAGTGCTGAACACCAAAGATCTGAAAGTTCCACAGACCCCCATTGGTCCTGGCTCCTGGGAACAGTGACAGTAAAGCAAGCCAGCTTTTCCCCCCGGAAATGCAGCATGTGACTCTGCATACTAGGAGGGTTAGGGTAATGGCCTGTTGCTTTGCGTCCCTGATAGACCTTAGAGCTCTTCATGAAATTGGATCAGTAAGGCCAGGTGGGAAAATACGGAGATGGAAGGGAAAGAGGCCTGCATGTAAGTAAGGTGCGTGTGTTCAAGAATATCAGTCATTGTGATGCATTCCTAAGATGAGTTGTGATCAAACCGTCAGGAACCAGCAAATGATGAGGATGTATCCCTGCTGTTCTCATGTAGGTAAAAGATCCTTTGGAAATTTGTTCTAAGGTACATTCAGAAAACATAATCTCTGTTTGAGTTGTGTGGCTTGTGGGATGGAATGTTGAGTTTTGCTTTTTTTGCTTCTATTAAAAAGAACCTTTTTTTAGGGTGGACTTTTTTGGAGAGCTGGGTAGTAGTGGGTAGCCAGCATCTCTCTGACCATGGTTACTTTGCCTGATTGAAGTTGCACTCAGTCTCCTGTTTCTCTGTCCCATGCCCACAGGTGCAGCTGAATGCCGGCCAGCTGCAGTATATTCGCTTAGCTCAGCCTGTATCAGGCACCCAAGTCGTACAGGGACAGATCCAGACCCTTGCCACCAATGCCCAACAGGTATGTTACCCAGTGATTCATGGCTTCTATTAGAGAACCAGCAGGAGCTAGTATCTGACTAGAAAAGGGTACTCAGCTCACAACTCTGATCTCATCTTTCAGCAAGAGTCAACTCTACACTTTCACATCTGTTCTGCACCCCAAGGAACAGTTGGGGATAATTGGAGTATTGGATTAAAAATATGAATCCATCCTGTTCTCAAAGGGGAAAAGAAATGCAAGTCAGGGAATCCTGAGAATACTTGAACAAAGTCTTACATGTGTATATGCTTGTTTGACTGGAGGAAGCATCTTAGGCTGTCTAGTCATCAGGCTGAGTTTCTTTCTTTAAATCTGAAGAGCTGTTGTGTCCTGGCACCTCCTGTGCCCTTGTTGTCTTCCTTGTCGAGCATCCCTAATCAGAGTAATTGGCCCTCTCGTACGCTAAGATACTGAAGTTTAGGAGTCACAGATGCTGAAGGCTGCCTCCCTGGACTTAAGAGAGTACATGGTATGGGCATCATTTGAAGGGGTAGGGAGATGCTGGTCAAGAGGAGGCATTGTTAATGGAGTCTTTTGCCTCAGACCCAAAAAAAGCAGCAATCGTTTAAGAGCTGGACCTGTCTGGCCCAGTTGCATTTCCAGTGATGTATCTATTGTCAGTAGTGACAAAGCTGAGTTTGTAGAGCAGGTCTCCAAAGATCTCATTTGGGAAGATGTGAGGGATGAGCCAAAAGCAAGGTTTCTACGTTTCATATAGTCTCTGGGATCATTAAAAGGCCCTTTGAAACCCCATCCCCTGGCTTGCCTAAGGACTTGGGCTTTTCCATCATCTCCTTTGAGCTCACCAACCACATTCACATCACAGGACCGGACACACCCTTGTGTACCCTCCCTTCTCTCATCTCCTTTTTAAAAGACCCAGCCTTATAGATTCTTTCCTGGGATCGCAAGATCTTTTATGGCATGAGTGTGGGAGGAAATGAGAAAGGAGGGGTTCTTCTTTCAGAAGTCATTCTGGGAAAGAGAAAATAAAAAAGTAGGGAGAGTTGCATGTACAGAGAGAAGAGAGGGGAGCAAGATGGAAACACCAGAGAGCAAGTAAAGTCTCTTTTAGAACACACTGTAATATAGGCAGCCTGGAGTGGAGCTTTGTTGAGTGAATACTGGGAAAGACTCATCTGCAACTAGAATTTAAAGGTAATTAAGATCACAATAAAATGGGGCTGACTCTGAGAAGAATGGGAATCCCAGAACACTTGATTGTGCTTATGTAAAACCTATACTTGGATCAGGAGGCAGTCATCAGAACAGAGCAAGAAAATACCTCATGGTTCAAAATTGGGAAAGGTATGCACCAGGGATGTATCCTATCTCCATATCTTTTCAGTTTATATGCAGAACAGATTATCTGGGAGGCTGGGCTCTGTGAGGAAGAGTGTGGCATCAGCATTGGAGGAAGACTCATCATCAGTCTGCATTACCCAGATGACAGAACCCTCCTTGCTGAAACTAAGGAGGACCTGAAGCTCTTGCTTCAGAAGGTCAAGGACTACAGCCTCCTATATGGATTGAAGATCAACATCAAGAAAACAAAGATTTCTCATCACTGGGTTGATTGGCAGCATCAGTATGGATGGTGAAGAGAATGAGATTGTCAACAGCTTCAGTTTTCTTGGCTCTAAAATCCGCTTTCTTGGTAACAGCAACCAGGAAATTAAAGACAAATTGCATTGGGGAAAGTCTGCTGTCAGAGACCTCTCCAAAGTACTGAAGAGCAGTGATGTCAGTCTGGAAATTAAGCTGCACGTGATCCAGGCCATGGTCTTTGCAGTTACTTGCTATGTTTCAGCAAGCTGGACAGTGACTAGGGTGCTGGAGAACAGTATTGAATATACCATGGACTGCAAGGATAACAAATAAGTTCATCCTGGAGAGGGTGAAACCAGGCTGCTCCTTGGAGGCAAGGATTCTGAAGCTTCGTCTGACATGCTTTGTACATGTAGCAAGGCGGATCAGTCCTTGGAGAGGGATGTCATGCTTGGGAGGGTGGAGGGACAGCGCAGGAGAGGAAGACCCTCGATGAGATGGATTGACTCAGTGACTGGGGTAATGGGATAAGTGTGTGGGAGACAGTAAGATTGGCACGGGATAGAATAAGGTTTAGGACTGTTGTGCCTAGGGTCGCTATGAGTTGCAGGCGACTAGACACATAACAACAACAAAGACTTTTTAGGTGGATGTGACTATGAGGAGTATTTTGCATTTGTCGCAGGCATGTTGTTTTTATTCTGCAGACATCTCTTAAATGCTTACTTTGCATTAATAGTACAAAGACCAACTGTAGCTCCTGCTTTGACATCTTACACACTGAAAGAGACTAGAAACAGAACAGTAGTGAAGAAACCTCAAGGAGCCCTTCTACCCTCTTTCCCTATTGTGTCCTCATAGCCTCCGGGATGGGCCTGTTTAAGGGTCTTTTTGGCCATTTTGAGGGCATTCCTGGGGACAGTCCCCACCTTGCAGTTTGGCTGTCATGATTTCAAGACCTAACTAGTTAAGAGATTCCATCGCTACACACGCTCACTGTAACACTCCAGTCTTTCCTGTCTGCCAGGTGGTACCCAACATTTGTGACTGTGCAGCAATTCTACAAGTCAGTACCTTTATTTCAAAATCCACTCAGATAAAAACCCATACAAAATCTTGTGGATGTGTGCTGAAGGTCTCTTGCTTTACCTTTCATTCTGGGGCCCCAGTTGTCCTCCCCTCCCTTGGCCCAGATGGGCACATGTTCTTTTGGAAAAAGTCCTTTTTTTGGTTGGCCATCAGGGCTGCTGAGGCCAGCACCTTCTGCTTGCCAGGGTGTTTCATATTCCAGTCACATAATCTGAGTGATAGAAAGGTTTGGTTTGGAGCCCACCTTCCAAGAGTGAAAGAGGCCACTCACCACTTTGCCCACTATTTTATAATGTTCCTTTGCTGCCTGAAAGGGCTTGTGCCTAAACCCTGTCAGGGCAACACTTAGGAGCTATATTTTCTGTTTGACTTGGGTCTCCAACCTCAGGAAGAGTTGGAATAAATGGGTAGATGGTTGGAGAAGGAGGCGCACATTTGGAGATGAGTGCAGAAGGCATGCATCCATTATGTCCTCCTCTGTGTGCTGCGTGGTGCCAGCTTTTTGGGTAGCCATCATTGTCGAGGGATGGGGAGGGCTCTTGCTTTTGAGAACCTCTTGTTGCCGTACCTCACTCATTGTCTCATTTAACATCTTATGATACTCTTTGGGTGGTGGGTTGATGGCCTAATGGACCAGGTCCTGTAGCTAACATGTCTGTTTTGTCATCTTGATTCCTGCAGATCACACAGACAGAGGTCCAGCAGGGACAGCAGCAGTTCAGCCAGTTCACAGATGGACAGGTAGGGCATCCAGCCTGGATAAGAAAATGGTGGAGGAATTATGGGTGAATTCAGATGGCGAGAACAAATGTTCTGTCCTTTAGTAGCAATGAACACACAGAAATTGGTGAAACAATCTTTAAATAAGGAGACCCATCCTTTATAGATTTGAAGGAGTCAAAAGTAGTCTTGAACATATTATAGTCAAAATCTCCATTTTATGGATCAGTAAACTGAGCCCAAAGGGCAGGCGTGCCTTACCCATGCTCACTTGTTTGTTGCAGAGCCAGGCCTAGAATGACTGTCTCTTGTTTCCCTAAGGCTGTTTTTTCCTTTAAGCCATGCTGCTGCTTAATAGCATGGATTAGTTGAAATACAGGGCACATGTGATCTCAAAAACTACTTCAGTGCCCAGAATTTGGTAATTCTAGATTCTTAACAAAGACGGAATCGTTCCTTTTCCTGTCCCCATTTCTCTTCACACTAAGGTCCAAGAGACCCCAGGACCATGACAGGATGTCATGCCCAAGCTTTTGCTCTCTGCTGCCCAGAAAGGAGAGAGCGCAGTGTCAGGACCACTCTGGCTTGCCAGAACTCCTGTGGAGCTGTTGACACTCTTGCTTTCTGTTGGAGGCACTTGAGAAACCAAGAGGCTAGTTGGCTCCAACCTTCCTAAGTGGCCTTAAGAATATCTTCTCCACCCCTCGCAGGTCTTTGGTGATGTGTTTAGTCTCAGGCCACCTTCTCTGCGGAGCCTGTGTAGAAATTATAGTTTTAGCGTAGCCTCCACCTGGGCCAGATACCCTGAGGAAAGGAGAAGGGGTAATACTACTGCCCCTTCAGCGAGGGTTACCAGTATTTGGGGGAAATGCCGACTTCCAAGCTGCTGGTACAGTGGTTCAAATTGCTTGTGTTTGTCACAGAGGAACAGCGTGCAGCAAGCTCCAGGCTCTGAGCTAACAGGAGAGGCAGAGCTCAGAGAAGTGAAAGCCGCAGGAAATTCCGCTCCCTGCACCTCTGCCCTGCCCACCACACACCTCCCCTCGCACTCAGGTGGAGGCTCCTGTGTCTGCTGCTCCCAACCCCAACAGAGCTCCTCACCTTCTCCTCCCTCTGATGCCTTGCAGTGGGTGGTGGTTGAGGTGTCTGGGGCCCCCAACCAACTGGAGACCCCATAGGGAGCCACATGCCCCTCTTTTCAGGGGTGACCTCACTCTCTCCTCTCCACCCCTCGCAGCAGCTCTACCAGATCCAGCAAGTCACCATGCCTGCAGGCCAGGACCTCGCCCAGCCCATGTTCATCCAGTCAGCCAACCAGCCCTCCGATGGGCAGACCCCTCAGGTGACTGGCGATTGAGGGCTTGAGCTGGCAAGGCCAAGGACACCCAACAGTTTTTGCCATACAGCCTGGGCGATGGCCACAGCCTCCCTCCCCAACGGACCCGGCCGACCTCAGCGCCTCCTGCAGGCTAGGACACTGGTGCACTATACCCCACACCTGGGGCTGAGATTCTTCAACAGAAATATGCAGTATTTTTTATTTCCTTTCCCATTTTTTCCATCCAAGGAATCAATATTTCAGTATATTGAGCTATGTGTCCAATGCTATGAAATGGAAATATTAAATAACATATTTATGGCATTTTCTTGAAGAGTGTGGTTGAAGAAATACTTCTTTTGGTTTTTGTTTTTGTGGTGGTTCTCATGCCACTTCCCTTTAGGAGCAAATCTTCCCAGGGGTGTATGTTACCATCTCCTGGCTCTTGAAACAACTACTGCCTCCAGGATTTGCTGCCCTGTTCTACCCTCAGATTAAATTAGGTGAATGTATGTACCTGCTTTTTCACTAGTGGTTCTCTGATCATCCCATGCTCTTGCCCCAGAGCTCCGTATATTTGCATCAGAGGCCATGGAAACATTCCTTAAATTTAAAAGATAAACTCATTTCCCATGGAGAGTGCTGGTTTCAACCCATCCACTCCTGGGGACCCAAGGAGACTAGAACTTTGTGCATTTGTCCGTTTGACCTTCCCTTACCCTCATTTTATAACTTTATTTTTTAAATGCATTAAATAAAATGTGCTGGTCTCCTTTGCTGCATGGATTTAAGACTGCATGAAATGCAATAAATCTCATTTTAGATAATTTAGAGTCTGGATTTCTGTGTCTGGGGGACACTGTGCTTGGGAATGCTTGCCCACAGGCTAAGTGGCTGGAGGGGGGGGGGGCTCCACTGTGGATGAGCTGGGACTGAGAGAACATAAAGTGCTCATCTGATACAAGCTGAGACCTTCAGCGATTCCAAGAAAGGCCCTCATCAAAATCTGCTTCTTACTGAGAGGCACCTTCCTATCTTTTTACTGGACAAACACACATGTGCCAAACCTGGCTATGTCCTGGCTTGGTTAGCATTCAAGAGGGCATCGCTTATGGGAAAAAATGACGACTGTCTACAAATAAGTAAGCACTCCATTCCCTGCTCCCTTCCGCCTGGTGCAGGCCCTCACTCGCAGCTGCTCGCTGTGGCCATTCCCCCTGGCATGGCATGTGCCTGGAGGGTAGCCCGGGTTTCTTGTCAGCCGGCACATCAGAAGAGTTCTGTAGCTGGTGCCCACGGCTGTTTAATTGAAGCAGGAAGAATGGAAAGAACATCCTTCCATTCTGTTGGCTGTAGAGCCAGAGATGAGCCAACTTCCTTCTGCTGCGTCACCCTTAGAATACATCTCCAAAAACCCAGTGTCAGTGAGTCACTTCTGACTTAAAATGACCGTTTGGGACAGAGTAGAGCAGCCCTTTCCAGTTAGCAAGGCTGAAATCTTTACAGAAGCAGACTGGCATTTGTCACCCACGTGATGGCTAGTGAGTTTGAACCACTAGCTTCTGATAGCAACTGAAAGCAGAACCACAAAGTTATTAGCAGGGCTCCCATAATTTGAGTAAGGCCCATTACAGAAATTATGTACTGAGCCCAGGTCTGATGCAAACTCATTGCCATACAGTCCATTCCACCTCCTTTGGGGATGTAACTTCCTAATATATCTGTCTATTATTTTCCCTTGGGAGGAAATAAAAAAACACAAAACACCAAAAAACTACATGACAGACTATAAGACCAAAGTTCTTGGGTCCAGGTAAAGTAGATACTCTTTCTTTGATGGTTACAGTCTATAAAACCTGAGGTAACTTTTTTTTTTTAAAGGGGACTGATCTCGTGGGTGGGCATAGAGTGGGGAAGAGGCTTACATTACATGATTTCTTTTTGTGTGTAATTTGAGTGAAAGTAAACAAAGCCAATTGATTTCCCATTCATACACATCTTGTTTAGGATATGAATTCTAATACAGTGCATCCACATTCTTCCCACTTCCTGTTATTCTCTTGTCAATCTTTCTGCCCTTTTCCTTCCTTCTAAGCTCCCTCTGTCTTCTGGCAGATGCTACCCTTTTGATCTTATGTGGATGTTTATTTGAGGTAGTGAGTACCTCCCAGGTGTTACTGTTCACCTCCTAGGCCTGTCTCTTGTTCCACTGAAAGTTGAACCATGAAGGAGTGAGTTGTTACTCCATGTTTGAAGAGTGAATGAAGGCCATAATCTCAGGGTAGGGGAGCCCATTGGTCTCTTGGTTCAGTAAACCTAGTCATGTTTTTGAGTTTTGAACAACTCCTTTTTTTGAAAAAAACAAAACTTTAATCTGGATTTTCTGTCATCTCTTTTAAGAGTGATCAGCAAGGTAGCCAGGCACCATCTAGTTCTGGATCATAGAAACTGAAGTTCATGTGGTCCACTAGTCTTAATACTGTACTATATTAGGTCATTTCTTGTCTGACCTTGAGGTTCTTAAGACTCTTTTGATACACACTGGAAACCAGATTGAGAGAGCACTGTTACCCACTGCACACATTCCCAGATAAGCCCCAAATATATATTGGAGTCTGCTTGAGTATCTTGCCTAACTTCAGGTCTGTTAGCTCTGCTCTTTTCAGCTTTGGAAAGAATGGATACTTTGACATCTCTTAGCCTTTTCATTAATTCAGGTATACCTGTCTTCATTCTATAGGGGGGAATAGAGATGGTTTGTAATGCAACATACACAGTGAAATAATAAAATAGGGAAAGATCTCAACAATAGGGATTGACTCTGTGCAACAGTGTGCTGAAGCCCAGCAGAGATTGTGAGAACGGCACTGGATGACAGGATTTCATTCTGTTGTACCTACCGGTGGTTGAGAGTCAGAGCCAGCTGGATGGCACGTGAGTAGCAGTATCCGGGAAATTATAATGGGATAGGAAGCAGGATCCTGGAAACCAGGAAGGCTAATATTGGCTGTAAAAACCCATTAAGAACAAACCTGTCTTGGAGAAAGTGCAACCAGGGTGCTCCTGTGAGGCAAGGATGGTGAAACTTCATCTTACCTGCTTTGGACCTGCTGTGGGGAAGGGCTAGTTCTTGGAAAAAGCCACCATCTGGAAAAGGTAGAAGGGCAGAGAAAGAGAGGAAGACCCTCAGTCAGCAAGCCGGACCGACAAAATGACTGACAATGGACTGGCGCACTTATGGGTTGGTCCAGAACATAACAACGGACTGGATCATGTATGGGATGGTCCATAACAACAACGGACTGGAGCAGGATAGAGCAAGGTTCAAGTCTGGTCACGGTGGTTGTGAATCGTAGTTGTTAATACTCAGCTCAGTTTCACATTTAATCCATATACTTCCTGGTTGCCAAAACAAAATTGCTTGATCAGGAATTCAAATTATAGAGAGAATAAAACATTCTTTTACAAAACAACTATGAGATATCATCTCACTCCAGTAAGAATAGCAAAATTTAACAGAACAGCAAGCAACAAATGCTGGTGAGGATGTGGAGAAACTGGAACTCTTAGTCACTGTTGGTGGGAATGTAGGATGGTGCGGCCTTCGTGGAAGTGGTGTGGCGCTTTCTCAAAAAATTGCAGGTGGAGATGCCATTTGACCCAGCAATCCCACTACTGGGAATATACCCCAGAGAGACCATGTCTGCCATCCAAGCAGATAAATGCACACCCATGTTTATTGCAGCTTTGTTTACAATAGCAAAGAGTTGGAAGCAGCCTAAGGGCCCATCAACAAACGAATGGATAGAGAAGCTGTGGTATATCCACACAATGGAATACTACACAGCATTGAAAAACAAGGAACTCATGCAATATTATTCAAAGTGGGTGACCCTGGAGGACATTATGCTGAGTGAAATATCTCAGTCACAAAGGGACAAATACTGCATGGTGCCACTATTGTAGAATGGGTCTGACATCAGGGTGGGGGTATGACAGAAAAAACTGGATAAATTATGTATATTGTATTGAAACAGATGAGGGAAAGAACAGAAGTGATATATGATTGAGTATTATGGTTAGCACAGGAATCCAGAATTAAGGTCGCATAGAGAAGTGTACTCGGGGGTGGGGGGAAGGGACATGGGAATTGTATACTAATGAAGGAATTTTTTTTTTCTCTTCGGAGGGGGAAGCGAGCTGGTGGGGAGGAGTGGGAGGGGAGAAAATTGGGGCAGTGAATGAATGGAAATCCAAAACCTCTGTAAAAAAAAAAAATTTAAAAAACCCAAACTAATAAATAAAAACAAAAACAAAGGCAGAGATTTTCCTAGTTTTAGGCCTGTACACATGATAATCTTGTTTGCTAGGAATAGGTAAAGCAAGCAATGCTTTCGCTTCTGGGCTGTCAGCTAGGTCCCAATAGCAATAAAGTAGAGACAAGTTCTCACACTTCTGACTCACAAGGTCAAGGCAGCACCTCTGGCATCCAGCTGCTTCATTCCAGCTCTGGCCTTTTCTACTGCCCTGTACCAAAGCATGTCTTGGAAGACAGCACACCATCAAGCAGGTATCCCCTGATAACCTTGTGTTAACCCCACGTGAGAAGAACGTAAAAGAGAATGGAGGGGACCAGCCCTGGGGCAGAGAAAAGGCAGAAGGCAAACCCTCGTGTGGCGGTCAAGAACCCTCTTGCTGCTCTTGCTCATTCCTGAAAAGCCAGGAGTGTTTGGCATTTCGGACTAGTCATTGGCTCCCGATTTTCCCAGGGACGGATATTCTTGGAGGTATTTCCATCAGTAGTGACTGGCAAGAATCTGCCCTGCTGAGCAAGTTCCCTTTAAATTGCCCCACCAGCAGGGTGTAAACAAACACTTTGGTCTAGCTCAAGAGAGCCCCTATCCAATACCCAGCACGATCCCCTTACATCCGGAGTGCTCTTCAAACACTTTCCTAGCACTTACAGCATCCGCCCTGATGATCTTCACAGTGACCCTGTTGGGGAGACAGGAAACGAAAGATCCCTGTGTTACAGATGGAGTCTTGGGAGGGCCAGTGCAGTGACTTCCCCAAGGTCACTGTGAATTAGGGGTGAATGAGGAGGCCTGATCAGAAATCTCCTGACCCCCTGGCATGCATAGCTCTTAGGGTAAAGACATTGGGAACAGAGAAGGGGGGGGGGCGTGTACCATGGCCTTAATGATGTGAACCTGAGCTGGTGTCTAGTCCACAGTGAGTTGTACTGCTGACCTAAAAGCAGCACCTCTCTGGCAGTTCAAATCCACCAGCGGCTCTGGAGAAGGGTAGACATTCAACTCCCATGCAATTTATACCCTCCAAAAACC